CTGCTTTAATTTGGGGCGTGCGTCAATTACATAGTTTACGTTATAAATCTAAACTAATATATTAATTGAGTAGTAAACATGCAGCTTATCTTCGATTAATTAAATGAGTACGCTACCCCACGTACGAGTCCTTCATTTTGACGAATAGTGCCGAGAGTTGCACTTAATTTGTACAAATAGTTTACAATATTATTCGAATGTTCTAAACCTTTTTCAAATAGTAGAATCTCTATATCATCTATAAAAATCTTTGCTGTGTTCCGTTTTGAAGCGTGAAATATGACAATGTAATTATTGGGTACTTAAAATCTTCACGATAGAAGGAACACACGAGTGATAACTCTCGTATTATAAATGTATCTATGGACCACAATCGCTGCGGTTGACGGTTACCATCACTGTATGTTGGGTATTATAAACGTCGTGTTATATAATTTATGGTTCTTAAGAGACGGAAATTATCGCTGCATCAGTCAGCTCGTGACCACAGTTGGTGTAACCTTTGGAACGTCGAATATATTTTTTATCCAATTTGGAATGACAAACAAGCTGACGGTCCATCTGATAAAAAGCAGTACTCATCACTTATACATATGAACAGTAATATGAGCTCCGCATAATGGAAATAATAATATTTTGCATGTCTTAAATGTTTTCTCATAAAAATTATAGAATTACCTTAATCCTTACTAATTATTATTACCAGAGGGAGACTTTGTACAAAAGTCGATTGCTTGGGGACCTCTGTCCCACTCGTGTTTCAACCGTGAAGCAGTTGTGTTTGCATGGCTGTGTTTCGGTTTGAAGGGTGGGATATGGCGTGAATTTATAGGATACAGAGGAATAACACTTGAGTCCTCAGGAATGGCAACCCATGTGGGGTATCATGGGCAAAACAGTATACTCTGTTATGTCCATGGTACTGCGCATGTCTATGGGCGACGGTTACCACTTTCCATCAGGTGGGCCGTCAGCTAGTTTGCCATTCTAAGTTGTATAAAAAAAATTGTATAAATATAAAGTATATGAGTGTATTTGTTTGTTATCTCTTGACATCTTAACACCTCAATAAATTCTCGTAATCATTGGTAACAAATTGTATTTGGGACTTACATCAGCTTTTATCCCGGTTAGTCAAAATAATTCGTCTTGCAGGAAAAGTCGCAGGTAAAAAATATATTATATGAAATAAAATATTATTTATTCATAAGGCAATTAGCCAACTGTTAAAAGGCAATCAAGTTAAACATTCCTATTGGTATTATAATTATTGTTAAACGCAAACATAGCTTCCACGTAATTCTGAACACTTGAAATGATTAATTGAAACGAGACTAAGCTTTTCGTTTTACATTTATCAGGAAACAATGAAGATTTTGGGCTATTAACTTATTGTGTAAATCTCAAATGTTTCTTATTATTTAATTAATTATTTAAGTCTACTCGATGTATTATCTACTTGAGACTGTAATATCATTTATTAGTATTATATATACAATAAAGTCAAGTCTTACGATTACTTAATACAATTAGGAGGTGAATTGTTATTCCTAAGTATTAGAATAGGAAAAATAAAACGAAAGTAGAAAAAGTCACTGCAAACTTATAATTTGACATAGTTTTTTCATTAATTCATTACGTTACGATAACTTTGTAAAAAAAGTCTCTCTCGAAAGTGGGGTCAAATGGGTATTTTATGGGATTTCAAAGAAAAAAGAAGTGTATTTTGCGAATTATTCAATAAATAAATTTAAAAATGTTTAAAGAATACATTATAGCTGAACTTATAAATAAAGTAAAAAAAAAACGAACATATGATCGTTTGTTTTGTCAAAAACTATTTTTTTAATTTGATCAAAAATTCTCTGAATTCTGTCCTTTAAACCCTTGTTCAGAGGCAAACTTTTTTTTACAAAGTCAATTTAACTTAATAAGTAACTATGCCAAGTTTCAGGCTTGTAACATTTTTTTTTTTTTCAATTCTGCCCTTCTATCTCGATAATTTAATTGACCCATATAAAAATAAAACTGGTAGAGTGACGTTATAAAAACTATATAATGAAAAATTATGTTATTACAATATCTATTGTTTTGTAATCAATCATAATAATTTATAATAATAGTTAATTAAATTTCGAATCATACCCTATTGACCATTTAAACATTACCAATCAAATTATAACCAGTATCTGAATTAAAATATATCAGTACCAGAGGGAGACTCTGTACAAAAGTCAATTCCTTGGGTACCTCTGTCCCATTCATGTTTCAACCGTAAAGCAGTTGTGTTTGCATGGCTGTGTTTCGCTTTGAAGGGTGGGATATGGCATGAATTTACAGGGTACAGAGGAATAACAACTGAGTCCTCGGGAATGGCAACCCATGCGGGATATCATGGGCAAAACAGTATACTCTGTTATGTCCATGGTACTGCTCATGTCTATAGGCGACGGTTACCACTTTCCATCAGGTGGGCCGTCAGCTAGTTTGCCATTCTAAGTTGTATAAAAAAAATTGTATAAATATAAAGTATATGAGTGTATTTGTTTGTTATCTCTTGACATCTTAACACCTCAATAAATTCTCGTAATCATTGGTAACAAATTGTATTTGGGACTTACATCAGCTTTTATCCCGGTTAGTCAAAATAATTCGTCTTGCAGGAAAAGTCGCAGGTAAAAAATATATTATATGAAATAAAATATTATTTATTCATAAGGCAATTAGCCAACTGTTGAAAGGCAATCAAGTTAAACATTCCTATTGGTATTATAATTATTGTTAAACGCAAACATAGCTTCCACGTAATTCTGAACACTTGAAATGATTAATTGAAACGAGACTAAGCTTTTCGTTTTACATTTATCAGGAAACAATGAAGATTTTGGGCTATTAACTTATTGTGTAAATCTCAAATGTTTCTTATTATTTAATTAATTATTTAAGTCTACTCGATGTATTATCTACTTGAGACTGTAATATCATTTATTAGTATTATATATACAATAAAGTCAAGTCTTACGATTACTTAATACAATTAGGAGGTGAATTGTTATTCCTAAGTATTAGAATAGGAAAAATAAAACGAAAGTAGAAAAAGTCACTGCAAACTTATAATTTGACATAGTTTTTTCATTAATTCATTACGTTACGATAACTTTGTAAAAAAAGTCTCTCTCGAAAGTGGGGTCAAATGGGTATTTTATGGGATTTCAAAGAAAAAAGAAGTGTATTTTGCGAATTATTCAATAAATAAATTTAAAAATGTTTAAAGAATACATTATAGCTGAACTTATAAATAAAGTAAAAAAAAACGAACATATGATCGTTTGTTTTGTCAAAAACTATTTTTTTAATTTGATCAAAAATTCTCTGAATTCTGTCCTTTAAACCCTTGTTCAGAGGCAAACTTTTTTTTACAAAGTCAATTTAACTTAATAAGTAACTATGCCAAGTTTCAGGCTTGTAACATTTTTTTTTTTTTCAATTCTGCCCTTCTATCTCGATAATTTAATTGACCCATATAAAAATAAAACTGGTAGAGTGACGTTATAAAAACTATATAATGAAAAATTATGTTATTACAATATCTATTGTTTTGTAATCAATCATAATAATTTATAATAATAGTTAATTAAATTTCGAATCATACCCTATTGACCATTTAAACATTACCAATCAAATTATAACCAGTATCTGAATTAAAATATATCAGTACCAGAGAGAGACTCTGTACAAAAGTCAATTCCTTGGGTACCTCTGTCCCATTCATGTTTCAACCGTAAAGCAGTTGTGTTTGCATGGCTGTGTTTCGCTTTGAAGGGTGGGATATGGCATGAATTTACAGGGTACAGAGGAATAACAACTGAGTCCTCGGGAATGGCAACCCATGCGGGATATCATGGGCAAAACAGTATACTCTGTTATGTCCATGGTACTGCTCATGTCTATAGGCGACGGTTACCACTTTCCATCAGGTGGGCCGTCAGCTTGTTTGCCATTCTAAGTAGTATAAAAAAAATCTTTATAAGCAAGAAAGTTTATACTATTTCTGCATATTATTATGAGTATTTAATTTTATATATTATTATATCAAGTCATTGTCAAATCTATAGAACACATTGATACTTATTAGAAGTACTCTCATCTAAAATAAAGGATAAATTCAAAATTTTGCTAAAATATCAACAATCTTCAGCATTGATAGTCATCCAATACAATAATAACTAATTAACTAAAACAATATTAATAATATATTTATTTTTAGGGCCGTCCATAAAACTTACTATCAATATTTTACAACATACGCGCACCTGTCTACAGGTAGAGTCGAAAACAAGCTACGTTTTCTTCGACAACTGAATAAAAATGATGAGAGAATATATCTTCGCAAACATTGTTTGTGAAAGGGTTGTGTGTGTAGAATATTGAAATAGTAGGCAGTATATAAAGTTGAATACGTATTAAAGAATAATCTGTGTGATGCGTTAATAAATGACATAAGGAAATAATAATATTTTATATATATTTTTTTTTTGTATTCTTATGCTTCAAATGCTAAAACACTGGATAATCATAGAAAATTGTTCAAAACAAATCAATTTCTATTTAATATCCTTCTATGTTGTAATTTGGTTTGCTATTACTTACAGAATAGAAAGAGAATAGTTACCTATATAAAACTAAATAATAAATTAAAAATTCAAAGGTATTAATGACTATTATATTGACTTTTTTGTCTAAAACTATGCAATATATTTTTTTCGTAATTTTGTCTTGCAACCCAAAATAATATAATTAATTGTAATAAGATTGAATGTTAGAAATTATAATACTTAATATATTCCTTGTACGATTCCAACCTGTTGCTCTTTGGCTTGTTTGAAAACGTAATAATAATTTAATCCGTCGCTTTCTATCCTCAATCAACAATATATAAACTCCTTATTAGATATACCTAGAAACCTATTTTTAGTAATGTTCATATTTTCTTTATGCAGCAACGTCGGTAACAGTTCTCGAGAATATGAACAATCGGCGCCGGGTGAGACGAGCGGTAGTGCGGCAGACACTGAGCCCCGAACACCAGCGCCACCAGCAGACCGGTACGAAGACTTGTTGAAGATCCTCCACGACCAACTGCAGGGCAGGGCGGATAACAATCCCGTGGTAGTACCCCCACACCGCGACTTGAATGTTTTAAGACCAGAGAACCCTACCATTGGAGAGATGGAGGATTTAGAACCAAGGTGAGTCTATACAGTAAAAATATTCTATATTTTTATATGTTTATCTTATAAACAAATCAAGTGTTAAATATTGTTTGTTCGTAACTACATTTTGTTCTATAGTAAAACTTTAAATTACAAAATACAGAAAAAATCTGTCATTATAAAATTTTCTTAAGATCTTTTTTTAATGAAAGGCACAATGGCAGATAGATATATTTCTTAATATTATTGTTTTTGTTTTTATTTTAATTTATTAGATTTTAAAAAGATTCTACACGTCAAAACAGCGACTTAAATAATTTGAAACCCAAGCATTGTACTATTAAAAAGATAATGGAAACGGAACTCTATTGATCTGAATCAGTTTTTAAAAAGAGTTACGAAAAATGTTTCAAAATAAGCGATGTAATCGCGTAATATAATTCCAAAAAAGTTCACATAAATTGAGAACGCCTTTCTTTTGATAGTCGCTTAAAAATTTGCCATCAAGTAGTAATTGGTACTTTTTCCATGACTAAATATAATAAGCACTTGTAAAATTAATATTTCACAAGTTTCTTAGAAAATTATAAAGTAGGATGTTGCACCAGTTAAATAAGAGTAATTAAAATTGTTCCACGAAAAACGACTTGAAAAAGACATTACAAGGAAAATTGTTTAAAGTTGTGGACAGCTGACATCCATAAGTACGATTTATGTAGCACGCTGCGTCTCCAAATTAAATTGTTACTTGCTACGTTATTGCAGCAATTAAACTTGGATAACACGACCATCGCGTTGCAACTGTTCAACTATTTTCACAACATAATACAATTTAAGAGAGTTCATAAAAATAATAAATATTATAATGATATGTCTACTAAATTCAGAGCATTATAATAACGTGTCGCATTACATTGCCGTCAAATCCTAGCCTCCAACACTGAACTATGCATCAAAATCAAACAAGTTGGCCGTAGGAGGTCTCTTGTGTAGTTGACGTAATTTCACCGCAGCAAATATTAGGCTAGGCAGCAAATCTCATAGGAGATGTGAAAAGAATAAAAAGAGTATCGCATGTCGTTCACGCTTGGCTATATTTTGAACGGATTACGTTTCATACAGGCCTATAAAAAAAGGATCATATCATACTTCTAAGACGGCTGATTCTATAATAATATGAAACATCCGAGGCGACCTTTCTTTATCTTGTAAGGCAAATTTCACAAGCTCCATGAAAGAATCTTATTTAAAATCCAGTTACGGGGCCGCGCAGAGATAGGCGCGGGTCTTTGACAATAAAACTAAATGGAATGAATGCATGATGGCTTCTTCAAAACATTGCTCGTGATATGATGGGTCCTCTTCTACAAAACTTCATGTATCATACAATGGCAAGTTGCTTTGATATATGGGTAATTTCAGCATATTGTTTTCAAAATTGGCCATCATTATGAAAAGAATGGAACGCTCATTGTTCCTCCCTTATAGACAATTTTCCTTGTTAGGTAAATAAGCGTTTTGAAATAAGTAACTTGTTCCAAAATTATATTTTGTAGAAAATGTTACATGAAAAATTCCGTAACTAAAATATATAGGTACATATATTTATCAAATCTCAATGAATATAAATTTTGAGAACAGCACCGGCCTCCAAATTTTGTATTCTGACAAGCGTCGTGTCACGTCGATCATTTGGAATTCTAATTGTCGGTGTGTCCCATCAAGCCGGAACATTGGATCTTTAAGTTCACAATAACAACTCACAAAAGAGTCAATAAATTTTATAGTAGCTAGCGGCTTGATTTCTAAATGCAGGTTATCGGAGCATGCCACAAATCGAGAGCGCTACACGTAGGCTCCTTAGTATTCTGTTCCACCCCGTACCTTGTCGCTTGGAACCTCGCACCTACAGGTGTAGGCAAATCACGTCCACTTATGTGTTCCACGCAGCCAAAACCAACACGCTACCATCGGAAAATCTTCCACGTAAATCTCGTTAACGACCGGGTTTAAGATTGTGTGTGAAAACTTTTAAATATCTCGGCGTGTTGAGGTATAGATAGAAACAGAATCACAGCTGCGTCTTCACGCGGATGTACCAAAACTATTTGAATTCATAGCACGTGCTAGAACAATAGATGGCTTATTTGTCTTTGACACGTCAATGATACTGAATGTTTTTAATGATTGACTATTAAAATGTATCAATAATCTTATAGACAGCTATGTTAGTTTTACATTATTTAATTTCAATCTACATTTTTATAAGTGGGTACTTCATGAGAAGGTATATCGATGTTTTCCTTATTTTATTCATTAGGTATTCGTACACATATTGCTCGTATACTTACGTATAGTTTCGCATCAATTTATGAATGGAACATTTTCATTTTGACACAAGTGTTCTTTCTGTCTCGTACCCTCATATACGCATGTATAACCATATACGCGATATTCAAATATTATTTGATTATTTCTATATTTCAAAACCAGGATGCTCGTATTATTATTACTAGTTCTTTTCCACGGTTTTGTTTGAGTGTATCGATTTATAAAATATTATATATGTTAAGCTAGAATTTAATCTACTTATTTAAGCTTAACTGAAATTCAAATACCTTTACAAACTTTCACATTTATAACATTGGTATTTAATTTGAATAATATTTATATATTTTATTAACAGTATAAATGCATCGAATCTGGAGAGATTTCAATTGAAGATAGCTCAGCATGAATTGTATGAAGACGGCGAGCCGTTAGTGGATGCGGTATTAAAAGATATGGCAACTGCCCCTGTCCTACATGCTGGTAAGTTCTCTTTTCTGACTAGATAAATACAGTAAAATCTCGATTATCCGAATATTCGATTATCCGGATATATTCTTCACGGCTCCAATTACCGATTTAGAAATGGTATTATGTAATTACGATTATCTTTATATCTCGTAATTTATTTTATATTATATTGTCTAAATGACGTACGTAAAACCCTTTACAAATAAAAAAATATTAAAATTTAATTATCGTTTGATTTGACTTTGAAATCGATTAGCCGGATTTTCAATTATACGGAATATCCCTGGTTTTATTTGATTCGGGTAATCGAGATTCTACTATAATAAAGTAAGATAATCATTATAAACTTTAACACGAAGCGTAATACCTTATTTCTCAAATATAGCAATATATGAAGGTTGCTAGGGGAGATACGGTTTATCATGCAATGTCCATAATTTTGTTCATGTCAAAGCAATAGTTTCCATGTTTCATCATGTAGACCTAGAATTTTATTGTTAAAAGTTTGTGAGTACATAATATTATATTTTAACTGTAAGAACAATTGAATGAACTAATGTGAAAATTCTTGTCGACAATGCTCGATTAGTTTCGATACTATCCGGGACCCTCGATCATAAGCGCTCACGATAGAATATAGAACCTAGACTTTGTACACCATATGATTTAGTAGCACAGTATAATATGGTATTATAATAAGAATAAAAAGTACTCGGATTAATATTTAATGTTCTTAGATTTCGCTGATTATTTATTCTTATGATATTACACTAGATATGATGATATTTCGTTATAAGAAAACGTTACTTCAATCGTGATAAAATTAATATGGGCTAAATACGAGAACCCTGACAATTGCAGGAAATATTAAAATTTACACGATATTGGCGAAAAAGAGAGAGTATAACACATAAAAAATTTCTAAATTGGGAACTTACTCTTTGTCATAAATCCCTATTATGTGATCTATATATTTTTTATCACATTATATTAATGTGTTTCATTTACACATTCAAAAATATGTGTACTCTTATTATATGATTATGTATCTAAATAAAAATATCATACAAATAATGATAGAAATCATATTACAATTAAATTAGTAATTTATTAATTATATTAGTTGTATTAGCAGTAAGAAAGTTAACCTAATATATAATAATATTGTAAAATATTATTTAGTTTATTTGCAGCGCAATATTCCTATTTATTTAAATATATATAAAAAAATTGTATAAATATAAAAAAGTAATATGTAGCTCAATATGGATGTAATTGTAATATAGTCTAATTTGTAAAATAAAAATTTTTATTTCTAGTAAAATATATCGACAGTAAAATTAATTCACTATGCAGATACCTACTCTTGATTATGTGGACGGTAGTTGTTAGTCCCACTGTCTAAACGTAATTGGTTTTCTAGGTCCAATCAACGATAAAGTGAATATTTTATTTATTCACATTTCAGGTCAGTTAATTGAGATCAGGGCACTCTAGTATATTTCGGTTTGCTCACCTATCGATAGTGTGTGAGCCCGCTTAATTTATAATGATTTTTCAACTCTAATTTTGGATAAAATGTACAATCACTTCCTTATTCTATTTATCTAGCGTTGATTTTATTATACACTTTTAATCATTCTAGATTATTTAATCTATAAAGTGTATATCATCATTATAATGATCATTTCAGTCATCATTTGCCTACTGCTACATATAGGTCTTCCCTATAAATTATCAAATTCTATCCATTAACACATTTTTGTCTAAAATACTACATATACAATTGTAATTTACTAAAACGTCATCAAAAGATCAATTTAGACCATCCTTCATTTAAGTTTAATAGTATTTTTCTTAACAAAATGTATGGACATTGCAACAATAAAGGACCTCTGACTTGAAATAATATTATGAAATATACCTACGTATATGTTTTTATAATATATAATTAAATACAAACTGAAATTATATATTCTTTTATATAAGTATATATATGTCTTCAGAATCACCTAAAATAGGTAGCGAATGTATATTAAATGAAGGTGGGTCCCGCAATCAGTTGCGGCCTAGAGGTCCGGCCGCGGCGGACTACACTGCCACAACAATTTCGCCCTTTACTTCAATAGAACTTAAATATTTAAGCCACTTAACTGGATTTCATTGTAGAGCCAACTTTATTGCACGCTCCAACATTTATTTTCAGTTCACTATAGATCGCTTCAAATCAATTTGTTATATACCTATATCAAGATATGAATCATTACCATTGTGTTTGGTTTGTTAAAATTTTATGTTTTTGTAAATCCATGTTATTATTTATCAAAAAATTACACAAGCGTTATAAAGTTAGAAAATGGTTATACAAATCGTCATTTAACTACATATATATATATATATATATATATATATATATATATATATATATATATATATATATATATATATATATATATATATATATATATATATATATATATATATATAGTAGAACTAGAAGAAATCTCTGTCAGAGATAAGACCTCCATTAACAATGTAATTTACAAGTGCAGAAATATATATATACAGAAACAATACCATGGACATTATACTTATACTCTAAACACTGTGCCACCAATGTTAGCCCTCATGTGTTGCCATTCCTAATGTCTACCATATTTTGATTCCACACGCAATAAATTCATTACTATACCTCAATATCACCTTTCAAATCGAAAGAGAATTTTTGAAGTCCAACCTATGTTTATATTGTTTTTTTTTTTTAAATACGTTTGTTCCGTTGTCAAACAGGCTAAGGTCGGAGACCATGCCTAGTCTTCAATTTGATAATTTGTCTGGAATCTTTATATTGTATTAACGTAAGTAACGTAAGTTTTTTTTTTTAATTTTTCTATATTATTTTGACAGAGCAAAAGGAGGGCGGCACTCAATTGAAGTTAATCATTGATTACCCAAATGGTGTTCAAGCGCTTTTCAAGCCTATGAGGTAAGCGAATTAATTTACTATATCTGTACTAAAAAGAAAATGAATTATATTTTAGTCTCATGACTACTAGGATACTAGGATACGTGTACTATGATTTATTCCATGACTTGGATTGAAACTAACAATTATGTACTCCACCTACTCGATTTTATGAGTAAATGCCAATTTTAATGTAAACTTCATTCAAACCAATGTTTACTAATCTGAACGCTTAATTTAATATGAATTTGTGAGCATTATTTTGAACATATTCCATATTTTATTAAGTAGTTTAGGTAGGTAGGTACTCATGCCGTTGACTAGTGTTGGAATAATTAAAAAACTTTTTTCGAATCTTTTCCTTAAGAGATCAGCTTTGGTAAACTTAACACCCTTAGCTATCAAAATTATTTATCATTCTCGGAAAGTTTATAAGCACATGATAAAATATAATAGTTACTGGTACAATAACGGAAAAATCTCAGGATAACTTGGAACAGCTCTCATACTTTTAGTTCGTATTGAACAAGTTCAGACGTAGAATGAGTTGCGTGCTAGAAGCACTTGCCAACTTGTTTGTCACCTTGTTCGAGTGTTGTAGTGTTGTACGCCTATTCAGAACTTAGGTAAGTTTCTTTTACACGATCGGCTTAACGGCTTGCCCACTAGTTCCGAACTAAGAGTACCATACAACTATTGAGTCGCCGTACTAACTTCAGTTACTTTCGTACAATTGTTGGGTCCTGCTTGTGTTCTTTTCAATTTCCACCATTGTAAAGTATGCATGCATATCTATCATAAGTAATTTTTTAAGCTTTTAACATTTAAATAGTAAAAACTATAGGACTATATTGCTTATCTCAAATGAATGCAATATTTAGTAATAATAGATGTGTTTTGGTTTATTTGACACTGATATTTATGTAAATGTCACGAACTAGTTGATATTTATCAAATTAGAAACTAGACACTTGCAAGCACTAGTTTGTTAAGTATAATAACGAATAAATACCTAAAATTAAAATTTTAAAATAATAGCACAAGGCTAAAGGTTCCAATTACACTTTCATTTCAATCAAATCAATATTCTAGGTTCGTGGATTATTAGTTCAAACAATTAAAATATTTCGGAGCGTAGCTAGGAGTTTATTTATTTACTATTTTTGGACGCTACTTCGCATGCGTGAATTTCAAAGGTAGAATAACCAATGAAAGAGACCACTTCTAAATGGCGTATCAAAATAACATATACTCGTACACTACATTTTAAATTAAATTTGTAAAAACCGTATCTTATTTGGTTTAGTGGTTTTTACGTACGGTTAGAACAAATATACAGACAGACAGATAAAGATTTCTAAAAATTGTTTTGACATTTATTGGTTTTATTAGACACCTCGTATCAATGTTTCTTAAATATCTCCCATGTACATACATAGTCTATCGTCTAGTTACTTTTATTATTATACGAGAAATATATATATATGAAATATATATATATATATATATATATATATATATATATATATATATATATATATATATATATATTCTACAGTTATAGTATCATTATTTTTTAAAGGTTTTGAGGATTCTTTGCTTATTGTGTTGCTTCTAATATTATATTAGCTAAAATTATTTATTTAATATTACATTTTATTTTTCATTCCATTTACATCAATACATACCCAATAGTACTGTCAAATGCGACAAGATATGATTTTCAACGTGACAAAAGAATAAGTTCTAAAAATCTACTCGGGGAATATCAGCAACATCCCCGAAGCTTTGCATACAATATCAGATGTCTTAGCACTTCGCTACTTTGATGTCATTTTAGTTCACACTTTCGTTGGCTGCTCGCCGTAGAAAGCGAGCACTGGTGATATAATATGCAATAGTACATATAAGATTTTTTTTATATATATAATAGTTAATTTAATATTAATATGTATAAATATATTATTTACGTTAATCATATAACTACTATAAATCAACAACATAATAATAATGAAATCCTTATTTTTTTTTTGATTGAATAACGACAATAGGTCCGTCCTCTACGTTATCTATTTTTTCATTAGATGATAATAGAATGACAACTTCGTCTGCACTATTCATATAGGCTAGTAGAGTAAATGAGAAATAATATGTAAGGATGAAAGCTGGCCAGTTGGCTCATTGTCACGAATTCACCAGGAATTAACCAGGGGAGACCATGTGGAGGGTGACTTGACTGTGTATATTGCTAGCAATGAGACCGTTACGAGAGTTAATACTATTAATCCCTTCTTCCTTTTACGTTATATTCTAATATGATTGATAGAAAGCGGGCACGTTTTCCATGACGATAATAAATAGAAGACAAATATATCTGTCTATTCAACAAGGAGTTGTAATAGTGAGCAATATCACCAAAACCTATTTACTATACCAGGGGGGAAAAGGATTGCTAGTAATGGAGATTAAAAATCCCATTGCTAGCAATATACCCAACCAGGTCGATCTCCTCGTGGTTTTCCCTGGAAACTATCATGGTTAATTCCTGATGAATTCATCATGATGGGCTAACTGGCCTGTTTTTATTCTCATCTATCACCATTCACTGGTGCTCCGCCAGTGTATCCCGTTAGCGCAGGCGGGCTTACCATTCCATTGTCACCACTCAAAAAAAATTACGATTGCCAACCCGCCTGACAGCCATGGCAACTACTGTCAAAACCCCTATTTGAGGGAGGCCTATGTTCAGCAGTAGGCAATTAACGGCTAATATGATGAAGAGTGAGCACATAATATTTACTTCTTCTATTAATAGTTTTGCGTTAGAATCCGAAATGAGGATATCCATCCGTAGAAAAACCAAAGTGGCTGATAACCGAGAAAAAAAGGTTCTTGAGTGTACCCTGTACGGAGAAACGCAGTATAGGACGATATCCCCCCCCCCCCCCCCCAGTGGTGATTGTAGAGAATTTAAGAATGTAGGTGAATCGGGACTGTTCCTTGTGGTAATACAGACAGATAATTCATATATTTGATAAAATCACTCTATTTATTGAGAAGGGTCGCCATGTTTCGGAACTGACCTGAACAATTGTTTATGGGTGGTCAAGTTACGAGTTATTTCAATGTGGTCGTTGTTATCTACAAAAAGTGTACCCACTACCAACATTCCCGTTTAGAATTATTACCACCTATCGAAACACATCACTAACTCACGGAGTACACCAAGTAACTTTTCTTAAAAAAATATAGACTCAGGGGGTTATCCCGACGACATATCAAGAGCCCTCGTGGATCTTGAACAATCCGCTCGGGAGCGATAAATTTCGCGACAGCCGATAACCCTTCCCTCTACCTTGTACGTGTTAGTTTTATCGTCTACCAGTTAACATTATAAAAGTATTTTGTAAAAAAATATATTTTTTTTAATTGACAACTTTAATTAGGAGATATTTTACTGATTTTGCCGAAGTCCATATCACTGTTTATTTGATTAGAATTATTTAATTTAATTCCGCTACCATTAATATATATGTATGTAGTATTGGCAGTCGCAAGCATCCTAATTACCAGTTGGATGCTTGCGACTGCCAACGTTAAACAAAATAATTCTAATCAAATCATCATCTTCCTACCTTTATCCCAATCATTTGGGGTCGGCGTAATATGATTTTATCCATATTACAAAAAGATTTGGTTTTTAGTTTTACGACCGGCCACCTGCCTGACGTCAACCCTCTTTGGGAATAATTCTAATCAAATAACCAGTTTAATAAGGAGAACTCAGTTCCTAATTCGATCCATTTTTTTTTGTATTTGTGTGTTAAGCTAATTTTTTTTTTTTGCTTTGCCAATAATTCATCGAATTTAATGACTTCCCTTGCAATTGAGACAGTTTCCCTCCCGTATTAGTTCGATACTAATTTTGTCATGATTAAAGTACCTATCTAGTTGTATTTTTTGTATAACAAAATCTTACATTATGATTCTTAAAATCATGGTGTTTAAAAATCGATTTTGTATTCAAGTAGAAGCAGTCGTCATGGCTTATCCCGCGTGGTATTGGTAGTTCCCGTCACTGATTATACATACCATTAACAAACACATAATAAAAATACAAGTTAATATTAAATCCACCTGACTTAGGTATAAACACTCATCAAATTAAAATACATCAATGTATGCGTAGTTGCTTCATAGTAGAAAAGGTCAAATCAATTAAATAGTAATTCATCGACCTTTAATAATACTAATATATAAAATATTAAGATCAATTTAAATTAAGTCTAAAATATCGACTATCAAATCTATGAAACATAGAACATTTTAAAGATTACAACATATGAAAGTTTGCGAGCGCAGTGTGAGCACAGTCAATAAATCGTAGAGCCCGTATGGTATATTACCCAAATATCCCTCCCCATCTTACCAGAACTGAAATTTAGTGCTTTTTCCGATCGTTTTCTTACCAAGAAATTGAATGTGCATGAATCAAGTGCTTCATCTGAGTAGCTTGTTATCTGTAGACCTCTATCTGGTCGTTACAAATTATAGAATTATATTATACGATAAATATAATATATATATATAATAATAAAGACTAAGTATAAAAATCTAACTGTTGATAATTAATCTAATTTATCGCAAACCTATAAAACTGTATAAAATATAAAATTGTGACCCACAAAAAAAATACTGCATTTTATGGCAACAATTTGTAAGTATTTCAAATGAATTAAGAATTTTCTAAATTGGTTTACAACTTATGGAGTTATAGGGTAACAAACATAAAAAAAATACAACCGAATGAGAACCTGTACCTTTTTGAATCCGTTTGAAAATGTGTTTTATGTAAAAAGCGCTTTAAATCTTTGTGATAGAAAAGTATTTTGCATACGGACTGAATATAATCATACAATCATACATTCACAACTTTTTTTGCCTATAGAAGAATACAAATATTCTAATTTACTAAATAAATCCAAATTACATCAAGTACGAGCATTTACAGTTTCGAATATTTAAATATGAAATAATGATGAGATATCTTCATAAAATAATTAAAAAAATGAAACTCTAAAAGGTAGATAAAATATCAATACCTATAATATCTCAACCTTTTTTTTGTTTTTTTTTTTTTAATAAATTATGTACAAGGCTCAGGTGAAGGTACACGAGTTTTCAGTTCAAAAGTTGATATCTGATATTCTTTTTTAATGGATTTATACCAGTTGGTATCAATTTTCGTCATTAATACTTGACGTGGACTGAGTGAGATGCCTTTTTACTAATTTTATTTCGTCAACTTTGTGTTTACCTTGACATTACATTATCGTTTAGAGTTGCCAGAAAATAATTAGGAACAAGATTACAATTTCCTATCATTTACGAAGATTTTAGGTAATTTTGTGTTATCATCAATGGATATTTTACAGTGTAAATAAATATCTTGGCATGGTATCAATAAAACAGACATCTCAAGACCATTCTCCTCAGGAATTGCAATACATATACAATATATATATAAATGATTTCTTTATTTGTATTGAAAGAAGCTTACAGCTGTAACAATTATAAAATAAATTATCTATTCATAATTTTTTTATTATTAATATAATAAAAAAATTCCTCCAGTGCTAAAAATTTGTGGCTTACCCCATAAGGGGAGTTTTGCATTAGTTATCACGATTAGCATCCGTCGACCTTAATGGTCGAGGGATGCTCCTTTTTTCACCTCTTACTACAACCACGGGAAAAGGTAACCCATTCTTTAATTACTGATAATACAATTTCACATAAACAATACATTCTACAACTATTAACAAATACATAAATTAAATTATTTTTTTCATGCAATAACAATTAATTATTATACAAGATTTTAACTGTTCATGCTTTTATTGTCTGATTATCTTCTATCGGTTTGTCTTATGATATATATATATATATATATATATATATATATATATCTTCTCCAACGATTCACACTTCTCTCTGTCATGTGTAGCTTGACGCAACTTTAGTCCTGCCGCTTCCATCAAGTCATCTTCCCATCCAGTTTTTTCTCCCTCTGTTTTTTTGCCATTGCGTGGACACCATTCGGTCACTTCTTTAGTACACTTCTCGTTTTAGCTCTTTATCATATGTCCAATCCAATGTCATTTTCTGTCTTGTACATTTTGTGACATCTTTCACTTTAATTTTTTTCATCAATCTTTTCATACGCTTCTAAGATTTAGTAATTTTTTAGTTAATTTCTTTGGACATTTGGATATTTAGTGGGATTATTTGGCCAAGTATTAACAAGACAAGGAGTATACTCCTTTACATGCTGTATATATTTATCATTAATTTTTATCAGTATCTGAAATCCATTTATCATAACTTAAATTTTCCCAGTTTAAAATTATAAAACAGTAAATCCTTTATTTTCAGCATCAAGGAATTGTTGTTTTATAACAATTCCTATATTAATATATAATATAATATATAATATAATAATACTAAATTGTGTAATATAATAATGTCCAAGTTAAATGTTTAATAATAATAAATAAATAGTTTTAATTATCGTTCTGTTTTCAAAATCTAAAATTAGAATCGTCGATTAACCATCAACCACTTAATCTACGGTAATTATAACGGAACTCGCCTACAGCGAGTCCAAGTACGTGTTTTATCTCCTAAAATCGTCTTGTCATTCTACATGGATATCGAGTCGTGCAGAATATGCAAATTTAAACATTAAAGTATCTAGATTAAAGTGCTTTTTGATAAAGTTAATGAAGCAGTAGTATAATTATTATTTGTAGAATTAGTAAGCTTAAGTAACTGTCATAATACACGTAATTATAATACTGAGACATCTTTTTCTTATTATTTATTAATTGTGTACGTAAATATTATTTTTAATCTGCCATTTAGACACAAAAAAGATGAAGATTTCTGATAAATAGAACTCAAAAGCATTATGACTCTAAAATAGATGTATTACGATTTACTACCCCAGTAGGTACTAGACCACAAAACTCTTTTAATTAAAAGAAAAAACACATCAAAATTAGTTTACAATGGGCAAAATACCACATATGAACATTTCCTTGTTTTTTTAAAATACCTTTTGTATTGTCATATCAGCAATACATTTCAATAATAATTTAATGTATAGGCATAGACGATGGTTACCACTTTCCATCAGGTAAACCAACAACTTGTTTGTCATTCTAAGTTGAATAAAAAAAGTTATAAAACAATTCCATATACATTAAATTTAATATTAAGTAGTTTTTATTTTGTAGCTTATTTAGCACTTAAGACAACCCATCTAATTGGGTCGTTTACCTTGTTTTGCTATTTCCTTTATAGTTTATCAAAATTCTAATAATGTATACATTTGTCAACAGATTCCCCAGAGATGTACAGACGTTGCCGAATCATTTCTACTTCTCGGATTACGAACGGCATAATGCTGAAATAGCGGCATTTCATTTGGACAGGTATGTTTATTATATAAGGATTAAACTCGTTAGTGTCCTTTAACGAGGTTTCTACCAGTTTTACTGTTCTATATCAGTTAAAATGAAAAGCATAGATCTAAAAAAAAAACAAAAAGTTCAACCATTCTGTTTCTGTCAACTCGGTCGAATGACCTGCTTTCATCCTCACTGGTGCCCCGTCAGGTGGCACCATTCCATTTTCACTTATAAAAAAATAGTTATATTGTGTATAATAATAAAAATAGTATATACCATTAAAAACTTTCTAATTTATTTAAATGAAAACCCAGCAAGGAATTAGCCCTGAAACAATAAAAACGTCATATTGATGGAAATAAAGAAATAGTTAATTATAATTATGAATACCGCGTCCGGTAACGGTTCAGTCGTATAATCTCTATTAATATGATTTAATGAAAATGTAACAATTGACCCGACCATAAGGCAGTCGGTTGCTACGAGTATAAATGAAAATCAATAAATTAATTGAATGTTTCTATTTGTACTAATTTAATTTAGACACTGTTTCCGTGATAATTTCAACAAAACTTGGTTACCTTTTTATTAAATACTATTGAAAAAGACTAGTCGTTATGGTACCTACTTTACATACTTTAATATTTAATTACGGGTGTTTTATTTTTGTTTTAAATATAATAAGCACATTCGTATGGGCACGTTGTAATTTATTTAAATTTACCTACTTTGTCAGTGCATCGTGTAGGTATGCAGAATTACGTGGTCACCTCACTTGTAATAGACATTTGTTTACCTTCAATCGAGTTCCATTAAGAATAATAGAAATGACTAATTCAAAACCAGGATATTGGGCTTCCGCCGCGCCATGCCGGTCGTGGGCCGTGTACTGAACATGACCACAGAGATTTATGACGTCACCGAAGGAGACATCCTGAAGACCTTTTTCGTGTCGCCCGCGAACAATTTCTGCTTTCACGGAAAATGTTCGTATTACTGCGACACTGGACATGCTATTTGCGGGAACCCCGATATGTTGGAGGGGAGTTTTGCTGCGTTTCTCCCGTCATCTGACATAGCTGAAAGGAAGGTTAGTATTCTTCTTTTTTATAACAATTTTTATCAGCTTGTTTAGAAGTTGTATAAAAAACAATAGTAGTAAATAACTATTTATCCCAGTCCATTTAATGCGGATAATGTTACAATTCATAGATGTGATTTCACTAAATAGCTCTGATTTCATGGCTGTGGTTCTGTTTTAAGAGCAGAATATGGAAATTACAAGATCCGGAATCTATTTATACATAACTCAGTCTTCAGGAATAACAATGCTTGATAAATTGGAGGAGTCACAGTGTATTTTAAGATATTCATATTGCTATTTATGTCTGTAGGTGACAGTTACCACATTCCATCAGTTATTCAGCTTATTTGTCATCTCAAATTGCATAGAAAAATAGCTAGTAACATATAAAATACCGATTCTTGACCGCAACTTTGTCATTCTTATCGAAAGGACCTCATGAGACCTTTGCCATTTGAATAACTTTACTTGGTCTAAATCTATCGATAGAAGTCGACTTCAATAGTTGATATCGTTATATAAAATATGCAGCCACAATCTATATTTGTCATATGAATAATTTTGTTATGCATAAGATACCAGTAATCTAAATAACAAACTCAAGATGTAGATGCAGGAAAACTCTAAGGTAACAATAAATACATACAGTAAATAATGTATACTTACCTACCTATATTAAAATACAATTTAAATTTTAATTCTAAAATTATCTGTGTACTTTATTAAAGCGTATAGACGTTTAATACATTAAATTATTATGTAATATTAATTAGTCCATAATGAAATAAAAATCTAGTCTATATTTTTTAATACCTATATCATACTTAGGATTTGACAGAATAAGTTGTTTATTTCATTATACTGTCATTTTGAATTAATATAGTATTCTGTTAATATTTACTTCATTCAATTTATTACTTTATAATAGTTTATATTTTATTCTCTTTTAATATTACTCGTAACTCACAGTCTGTACTAAATAAATATATAAACACTTTTTTTTCAAATAATTAAGATTTTTACTAAAAATAGCGGCCTTAATGGTGGCATTATTATGGTGAAATTAATATAGCGAAATAATTATTGTGATTCCATACTGGAAACTGGAAGAAATCTTATTGTCTGTGAAAACAATTATGAAAAAAAAGCACCGCCTGCTATTAGGCGGTGCTTTTTTCGTGCAATGTTCAGAAATCGTTGTAGCATATGGGTTTAACCTAAGAGTAAAGCCTAATAAATATCAGTTCATAGTACTTCATACATCGGAATAATTAATTGAAAAATCAAACAACTTTCTTTTTTCTATTAAGATTTCATGAGAAATAAATATAAAACAATGGGACAACTAGTTACCGTTTACATAATGTTCTACAAATCAACAAGTTTCAGTCAGACTTGAGATTTTATTTAACTGTCTAATATTTATTCAGGTACTTTTGCGTTTCATGCTGTCCATTTTATCTAATGTCATATTTATAAACCCTTCTTTACCACCTAAACAACGGTTGTTATTACATTATTGTATATACATTGTTAAATTACATAAAGATTATCTTGATAAATCAACATATCCCGGTCACAAAGACGATGTTAAGTCAATACTAGCAATAAATAAAAACTTTTCAATTTCTTATAGAAATGTATATTATAATTTTTTAACAGGTTTGGCGTCATCCGTGGAGAAGATCGTACCATAAAAGACGAAAAGCCCAATGGGAGCTGCAGTCAGATTATTGTGATACGGTAAATATATATATTTAGGCATTGTTTCATAAAAAAAAGTGTCCTTATAAAATTTGAGAGTTTTCAACATATAACCCTTCGATTATTTCATTATAAGAGAGCCAGATCTACCGCTATACATTAAAAATCATATCCAGACATAATTATCCTTATTTATATTTCAAATGCGAAAGATTATTTTTATTTTCTTGACATTTTAACGACTCAACCAACCCTTATAAAATTTACTACTTTTTGTAAAGGTCACGAACACGAAGTCACAGGAACAGCTAGACATACATATAATTCCAATGATAGGTGAAAACAATGTTGACAATTAAGACACTTTTGTAAAAGTTTAAGGTAGAAGCATACGTGGCTTGAATATTAAATATGTTTATCTAAAAGCTTCAAATCTTTAGTACAATGCTGTTTATTATTACGAACAAGCATTTGATGGATGGAATGTAACGACTCTGAAAAGGTATGATTAGCCATTTTGTAACTCTGCTAAATCGCTACCATCTGCTCTGATAAATTTATTCATTATATCCCGATGCAGAAAAAAACTGAAAGATTTAAATTAAGCGCATCAATACATTTTGCCATTCCAGCGTCCACATAGTTTATGTAACCATCAGGTGAGCTGTATGTTCATTTGCCCCCTGTGTGGTAAAAAAAAAAGAATATACTTACCTGTATAATTTATTTTGCGTAGGTTCGCACCACGCCCCCTTATGACTCAGGACGGCGGTTACTCGATTTGATGGATATGTCCATTTTCGACTTCCTCACTGGTAACATGGACAGGCATCACTATGAGACTTTCAAGTAAGACTTTTCCTTCTTAATTTGAATTAGACATTATGTTTTTATCTCACTTTTAAAATAAGAACAGAAACAATTTTCGTATATGTACTTATGCAGATTTTTGTTAGGACCTTATTATGCATGAATATATCTGGGTCTTATTAGTGCTAAGTTGAGTTTAAACAGTGTATGACAAATTCTAAATAAAGGGAGCATAAATTCGTCTTAATTGTGCACTATATGATGATAACCTAATATAAATAAGGCGGCTATAAATTGTCAAGTTGCCATCATCATTATCATCAGATTAACTGTCACTTATTAACTGTCCACTGCTGAACATAGGCCTCACCCATAAGAGGTTTGCTAGTAGTTGGCATGCTTGGCAGGTTGGTTAGCAACCACAGTTAGGCTTCTGGTGATGTTTTAAAAGGGACTTTACCGCTAATCTCTCGACCATTAAATTTCTTTAGTCGCCTCTTACAACACCCATGGGAAAGAAAGAGGTGGTCCATACTATGCCGGGACTACATGGCAAGTTAAGTTTACATACCGATCTTAAACTATCAAGTTGATGATATAAAATCAACACGCTGACCATAAACTTTCAAAAACTTTTTTAATGATTTTATGCTGTCTAATATATTTTAAACTTTTATTTTAATATTAAATAAAAAAAATATAGCAATAACTTTTTTAATTACAGAATGTTTGGTAACGAGTCGTTCACCCTTCATTTGGACCAAGGGCGAGCGTTCGGTAAAGCGTTCCACGACGAGCTCAGTATCTTGGCTCCACTGCTTCAATGCTGTATAGTTCGACACACCACTCTCTCTGTGTTGCTCAAGTAAATAATCTATATATTGTTTATTTGTTTATTTGATCAACTGACTAAGTTTTACAGTTTCCCAATACGCTCACCCAGGACAGCATCAGTACAATAACATATACTTTATAACTATAATCAACAATAAGAGTAAAATACCATGTATATAACAATAATATAAATAACATTTATACTTTAAATATCTGAACATTTACCAGAGGAAGATTTTGTACAAAATTCGTTTGCTAGGGCACTTCTGTCCCATTCGTGTTTCTACCGTGAAGTAGTTGTTTGCATGGCTGTGTTTCGGTTTGAAGGGTAAAATATAGCAGAGAATTTACAGGGTACAGAGGAATAACACCTGAGTCCTCATAAATGGCAAAGCAATGCTGTGTTTCGGTTTGAAGGGTGGGATATGGCGTGAATTTACTGGGTACAGAGTAATAACACCTGAGTCCTCAGGAATGGCAACGCATGGGGGGTATCATAGGCGAAACAGTATACTCTGTTATTTCTATGGTGCTGCTCATGTTTATAGGCGACGGTTGCCACTTTCCATCAGGTGGGCCGTCAGCTTGTTTGCCATTCTAAGTTGTATAAAAAAAACATGGGGGCAATATTGGTGAAACAGTATCTCTGTTATGTCCATGGTACTGTTCATATTTATAGGCGACAGTTACCACTTTCCATCAGGTGGGCCGCCAACTTGTTTGCCATTCTAAGTTGTATAAAAAAATAAACGCTCAGTGGTCAACAGACGTCATACATCTAATTTTAGTATGTCTCGTCTTTGAATAGTGAAAAATATATTTTTTATTACGAAATATTTTATGAATTAAGGAAATTAGGAATTAGGAATAGGGCTACCCTAAACTGAGGCTAAACTGTATTAAAATAAAAGATAAAACGTATGAATAAAATATAGACACTGTCATAATATAATATACTTTAATATTTTGTGTTTCTAGATTTCATAACGGAATACCACTTTCAAAAGTGCTACGAGAAACAATGCAGTCAGATCCAGTCTCTCCCATATTATGGGAGCCCCATCTCGCCGCACTCGACAGAAGAATCGTCATAATCCTTGACGCCATCAGAAAGTGTGTACAGAAATCCGAAAACCCGTTGCAAAATGAAGTGAACGACTTCGTATGACCGCTGACAATATCGGAATGTAACCGGACTAAAGGCAATGATATAATAAAAGAAAAAAGGTAGATACGTTATGAGCGCGCCGAAAACGAACTCTGGAGATGATGCTAATTACCACCACTATAATATTTACGTACTCTATCACATGTATGATAAACACTGGCCTTTTTTGACCGGTATTTATCCTTATCGTTTTGTCACTCCATCCTTTTTAAATTACTTTCAATGTGGAGTATTTCCTATGTTGCTGTATTTAGAAAATTTTTTTAGTTGTTTTCCGATCGTTTAACGTATCTTTAAACAATCATTGACTAAAGGTCTCCATGCAGAGTGATACAAATGTAATAGATGAGGAATAAACACAAAGGGTTGTTGCAATCAGCGGATATCTAGCTAGTCGAGTCGTGTGTCTCATATAACCTAAGGAAAACTTAGTTCGTAAGGCTTAGTCCAATACAAGGTGTGACACAACTTTGGTTCTGTCTTCAAGACTTTTAGACATAAGTTCATAGTGCCAAAGATTGTCCAAATGATTATCTGATACTGAGCATAATATTTAATCATTCCAATAAACTGTCGCGGATGAGCCATTGTATGCCAAAAATGAATGATTAAGACAATTCGACATTCAAATTTGTTAATGATGTAGGATGCAAATAATAAATTGGAATCAGTATTGATAAAACGCTAAAACAATATAGGTAGGTAGTTTTTTAAATATTATTTTGTATATTATGAAATATAATGTTAAGGTGAAATGTGATTAAGTTTAATGCAATCTATGTACATAATTAGAAATGCAGTTTGACTATAGTTTTAAGGTTCAAGACATTTATAATTTTAATATTACAATGCATACTTATACAATTTTCATTTTCTGTTGAGCTCATCTCTTCATGTAATATCTTTTACCATAACTCGAAACTCATAAGATACCTTTATCGTTATTCCGTTGTTTATTAGTAAGTATGTGATATAGTTTATAATTTGTTTTATCTTGCTTTTAACATTTTTGGAGGCTTGAGATATAAGACTTAACTATAATTCTAAAAGTATATACATGCATTATTTTATAATCTATCTACTTATTTATTTTCTAAAAAATATTTTATGAAATATCAAAACGATATTTGTGCATGTAACCAAATGATAATGGCTACGATTTTCTAAATTTTTGCTATTTGTTTTTATATTTATTAACATGATATAATATTATGATCTCGATGAAATAAACTTGTGAATTATGTTATTACTATTTCGTATAATTGTATACCTAATTCTGTAATATAAAAATAAAGTAAAAACATATTTTTGCATAGATTTTATTTACATCTATGTTATTTATACGTAGAGTAACGTGTGGTTTCCTAGTTAGTTTAAATTGGTTAGTAAGCTGTGTACATTTAGATGTTATGAATATCATCAGGTTCTTATATACCAGAGAGATCCCACATTTTAAGTAAATTTAATGTAATCGAGATATAAATCAGTTAGTGTCGCAAACTCGTGGTTTATAATGTAAAATATTATGAATTTTCGCGAATATCCGATATAATAAATAAATGTTTTAATAACAATTATTATCGTACCACCCAAAAAGAATGGTAAAAGAACTTAAGTTTTTTTTCCAAACATAACTAAATTTTACTTTTTTATGTTTTTTTTTTGTATGAAATAACTTTACCGAATATAATAAAATATGGAATAATCATAAAAAATAGGTGGTACATAATAGGAATAATTGACATATAATTTAATTGCTCATAAAATATGTCTAATATGTTGGGGCATATTTAATAACTTGTTAAAAATTTATAACATTGTAAGATTCTGATTATATTCATAGTAAAAATAAAAAAAAAAACGACCGCGTACCGCGTCGAGTCCAAAAGTATGCTAGTTATACCTAATTAGTTTCTTATAATTATTTAATTGTGCGTGTAGATCGGATTCAACCGTGTCTCTCAGTAAAGCATGTTTGGCCTTTCACCCTATTTTAAGTTTCATTATCAGGTTTAGATTAATTCTCTTTTAACCTAATAAAATTTCGTAATTCCACATAAAATACAATTTATAGAATATTAATATTGTCGTAGGCTTCTAGTTTATTTGTTTATATCCATACTTATTAACAACATATTAAAACTTCATACAAAAGATATCATGTTTAAATACACCTATATAATGGGTACGATTGGATTGAATTAGTATGATGTTACTAGTTGGTTGAAAAAGTGTACAATATTACAGAATATGCTCTTTTTTCAGTGCCACTTTTTAGTATCTGATTATGAACCTTGGGTTCTTTATGTATATCAAAGTACATACATGCATGAGTTATTTATCTTTATTATGAAAAAATATTGTGTTGTTAATTTTTGTAATATTTTTTGTTTATATACAAAATTAAAAGTGTCAAACATGCTTTCCTTTCGGACTTAAATACCTATAGTTATAATATTGCTCATGTGAGAAGTGTGAATGTATGATGTCGACTTGCCAAAGACGTACCTACAAATTTAAAATAAAAAGTGTTGTATGATGTGATGTTGCAAAATATAAACTTTCTGTTGATTGTTTAAAAATTAAAGTTATGACATTCGAGGGATATTATTTGTGTTTTATTGAAATCCTCATTCAGAAAGAAATAAGCTAAATAAAGGAATGTATAATGTTACATATATTATACACACAGTGCATAGTTCGAGACTGGTCTTAAAGCTATAAATAGACAAATTGATTGATCAAAGTTGCAAAAACATCACTAGTAATTGATCGAACTATTTTTTCTTTTTATAGACAAATCGATTAAGTGACTACGCAGTATGTATGAACGATAATTTATACTTTAAACTTTAGCCTTCTTTGTTCTAATTAACATGCAGTATATTCTGTTGATAAGTAGAAAAATACTATGTATTTTCTACTTTTATATTACATGATATCTCTGTCAGTTATAATATAATTTTCATTATTTTTTTTTGGCAAAGATGAGGTTTATATTCATTCATATCTTTATGAATATCTCACAAGGAGAATATTATCTATTTTTTTTCGAAATATATTGTTATAGTTGATGGGATGGAAGTTCTAAAATCAATGGAGGACAACTGAAACATTTTTCAATGACACAAGTATTAAGGCTGAGGTCATCACAGAGTTCAACTACAATCGCAGTTTGAATAGAACTGAAGGTAGTATTGACCGAGCCTAGTTTACATACCTACAGGTAACATAAGCAATGCAACTAAATTAATAATCTTATTTCTAAATGTAACCACTTGATAATTTCATCAACTTTTACCTCATGGATATCAAAATTATGAGAATTTGCCGTCAAAATCGGAACCAAATATAAAATAAACAAACCGAATTATGGAGACGTAAAAGAGAACGAATTTCGTGGGTCACTGTTCTCGTTGACGACGTCACATATAAAGGTCACATAAAACCCACGAAACACAAAGATATGTCCGTCCCCCATAAAAAGTGGAATATGAATAGTACGGATATTCGCTATAACGTTTTATAGCTTTACGGCCTTTTTGTTGTTTATTAAATACCGAGCAAACAGTAATTTTTGTACGTTGAGCATCTCTAGTGAGAAGCATCCCTCGTGTCGCGTGTGTGATGTCCCATACAATTATCTTGATGATAGAATAAAATTTTATGTCTTCACGTACCTAATAATATTTTCATTCATAAATATAATAATTACCAAATGTAAGGGGCACATAATGAAAGAATAATTAATAATATTTCTACTTAGAATATTAGATAAATTATGGAATATAAAATAATACATGTCCTTAGGGCATGTCAGATTACATACACTGTCCACCTTCGTATAAAATATATAGATAAAACATTATCCACAATAATCGTCTGGTAAAAGTAATTTTGTAGAAAACAGCAAAATTAGGGCATTCAGAATAAAGCTCCATGTTTGATACCTTACTTTACGTATTCTGTAACTGTAATTTGGAGACCAATATTAGTGAAAAACCTAATAGAATCCATATAGAATTCACTAAGGCTGATTTTACGTTTGAAATTGTCAGGAATCTGTAAACAAAGTCTTTGAAATCATGTTATGTTTCGTTTACTTACAGGTAAGTATATACATAAATAAGTTACATTCTTTAACATTCTGACAAGGTCACACTGGATTATTATTATAAAAGCAGTTTTTTTTTTTTCAAATAAATGAACAGAATTATAAGGTCAGTTTACATTGAAATATATCTTTTTAGCAGTCTGTACAAATAGAAAAAAAATCTTAAAAATGATAAGTAATTAACTAAGTACATAGAGTCATAAAATATGTAAATACTCTAGTTTACTTATGAATTTGTTTCAAAGACTGCAGACTAGAGTTTATAATGCATTTTTCTTATTCAGTAACTATACTAGTAAAAGAGTAGGTGTTTAATTAAGAATATTTACTATATAGTAATAGCTAAAGCTTATGTAATAAGTAATTAAAAATTTGAAATGTAGCAGTGCAAAAATTTTCAATTTAATCTATTTTATGTACATTGGATTGGCAAACGAGCTAACGGCTCATATAATGGAAAGTGTTAGGTATTCGTTTGTAGACATAATTCTATAGAGATTAGCAATAAATTTAATTTATAGAATATGTTATAATTAAAAAAAAAGTAACAAAAAAAACAAGGTGTCAAAGCCCAAAAAAAGGCGGGAGATAGAGACGGACGGACGGAAAAAAAAAAATATGGCTGTCGTGTGGAAAAAAGTATTTGTGCGAGATTTACAGTTTTTTTATAACGCTGAGTAGTAGAATCATATGGAAACACAAGAAACAATAAAAATAGATCTTACCTCAGTATTTTATTTCACATGCTATCCATTTTGTCAATAGTAGGTATAATTTCTTAGTAGGACTGACAAAAACAAAGAAGTAATGTACATTAACTATTTGAATTTATCTTAGAACCCTAGCCCCTTTCATGCCATTTTTATTCTAACAAATACTTAAATACTTAGTTTCTTTTAATGAAGTAAATATTTATATGAGTATTTGATTTTTCCTTAAAAAACTTTGTGACTAGAAGCGCGTCTGTCTTACATAACACATTCTGTATATAATATTGTCATTCTCAAGTCGTATGTAATAATCTTCTAAATTGTATATTCATGGCGACATTTTCCCTAGCAAGCAATGAACACTTCATTCTCTGAATAATAAAAGATGAAATCCGGATACGCAAAAAAATTACTGTACTTCTTTATTTCTTACTAACAATAAAACCATTTACTTTTAGAATAGAACCTTATTTCGATTAAATACAAATAGGTTTAATCAGTAACTAGTTTTGTTATATTTTTATACATCCTTAATAACTTATTTTTTAAAATTGCGTAAAGTGGGCACGGATCTCTATGAAGGAAGATACTGACCTAGCAATATCACATTGACCAGGTGGTTTTATTTTGAGACTTTTTTCCTTTTATCTAATGTGTCTTACAGTAATATACTCAGTAGTATACTTTGGAGATGTAAAGAATGGTATTGTATTCTAACTTTGATACGGCACGGTCAAAAAAATAAAGAAGAAAATAATACAGAATGGTAATGAAAAAAGAGTAACAAGTGAATTCCATCGTTATATCGATCGAACAATGGAACGAAGTAAAAATACTTCTATATTTACAAATTTTCTTTGTGAGCTTGTTTTAATAAACCCTTTCTCTTTTAATAAATCTGATTTTCTAATTAAGAACAACATTATCGTCCCAAGAATTTCTGTAGACGCAAGAGCTGTATTAAAAGGAATATTTTAATTATTGAAAGCCGTCGCTAGGACTAAGCCAGAGGGAATTATCATGAAACCCGACGACAGTTGTCGACAGTTATGTACAATTTGTTTCAAGATATTACACTGTCAAAATTCATAATCATTAACATCACGAGGAATTATTTCACTTTGACTGTGACGCTGCAATCTAATTAAAGACGACAATTCCCTAAGAACGAAATAATTGCATGTTATTATTGAACTGTATATAATTATACGGTGTGGTCGATTTTGAGGTGATGTTCTCAAAAATTCAATTTTCAATTTGATCACATTACGTATCTATTATGTTACCTTAACGAAAGAGAGCAAAACAATTTACTATAGTCGTTATGAAAATTATGACCATACTGTTAAGAGTGTATGACTGAAGAGAGAGATTATATTACGAAACATCATCTTCCTACCCTTATCCCAATCATTTGGGGTCAGCATAATATGATTTTATCCATATTACAAAAAGATATGATTTTTTTTTTATTATACTCGTATTACGAAACATCGAGAACAAAAGATAAAGTAGTTCTAACTCCATTCTATTATAAATTTTAGTTTATCATCATCATCATCATCATAGTTTATCAGCCATTATCTATCCACTGCTGAACATAAGCCTCTTCCATAAGGGAGGTTTTGCCAGTAATTGCCACGCTTGTCCGTCGGGTAGACAACCTTATTTACTTTTGGCGATGTTTAAAGAGATACGCTGCTACCGATCCCTCGACTATTAAGCTCCCTTAGTCGCCTCTTACGGCACCCACGGGAAAGGAAGGAGTTGGTTTATAATGGGCCTTATTTTTTTTTTATAACATATGGGGCAAACGAATGTACAGCTTATCTGATGGTGATTACCACCGTCCAGAAGTACCCGCAATATTATAGAAATTGCAGGTGTTGCCGGCCTCTTAGAAAGGAATATACTCTTTTCTTAAAGAATAATAATTTCTCTTTAATATCAAAATGACAATTTAGTTTTGAAGATACAGAATGATGCAACAGAATCAGTGGCATTTTCACACTTCTGTATTTTAGTGCTGTAATTTAGGAACCCATATTATTTTGATAGGTGAAAATGGAATGGTATCCCCGCCTGCGCTAATGATATACGCTGGCGGGGCACCAGTGAAGGGTCATCGATGAAAATGAAAACAGGCCAGTTAGCCCATCATGATAAATTCATCAGGAATTAACCGTGATAATTTACAACCTCGTGGAGGTCGACCTGGTTAGGTATATTGCTAGCAATGGGATTCTCAGTCTCTATTACCAGAACCAATATTGTAATACGTAATTTACGAGTTCCTATCACGATTCGTTTTAAGCGCGCCAATATTTCAACTCTGTTGCAAGAGTACCTGCAGTGTAGTAATTACACCTACAATTAGTAAACTCCTAATCTCAATCTTAAGTTTACTTTTAATATTATTAAAAGAAGATATGTTAAAAGAACTTTGTACACCATAAACAAATATTCAGATTTAACATATATGCATAGAATTATATATTGTAGTATGATTAATGATTATATATATATATATATATATATATATATATATATATATATATATATATATATATATATAGTAATTACACAGTACTATCATACCTACTTGTACAACAATTAGTCCATTACCTTAAGGTTGTCTTGAAAAGATTGCTCTTAGCAATAAGACCGCCTTACTGTACTTATATAATTGTATCGTTGTGTTTGTAAATTGTCTTGCTTATTTCCTATATTGTTTAATGCAAATAAAGTATACTCATTCTTCTTTCATTTATAAAATACTATAA